CTTAACGAGGGCACAGCCTTCAGGGCCTGCTTAATAGCTTTGAAAATGTTTTCACTTTCTATGCTCCAGGGGATGTCATTAGGTATTTGGCAGTTTGTGAGCTCATTCAAAGGGTGCACTCTCTTAGAGTACATGGAGATGTATTCCCAATAATAAATAAAAAGCCCTAATGCACTTCGCAGATCTCGCTTTGTGCGTGGTGTTTTCAGTAGCGCTATCGCACTAACCCTATTGGGATCAGGGGAATGTGACCCTGAACCAACCACGTGTCCCAAGTACTTAAGCTAAGCTTGTGCAAGCCAACACTTTTGCAGGTTAATCGTTAGACCTACCTCCGCTATAGCGGCCAACACCGCGTCCAAGTGACATACACGCGACTCACAGCTTTTCGAGTAAACTGCTATGTCGTCTATGTAAGCGCATGAACAGCCTCTATGCCTTTGAAGTACCTCATTAATCATTTTTTAGAAAGTCGCAGCGGGGTTTTGCAGCCCATACAGCATTACGCACCATGTGTATAGGCCACTCATAATCGCGAATGCATTAAGCTTCTGCGAGCTCTCTTCGACCGGTATCTGCCAGTGTCCTCGAGTCATGTCAAGTAGCGTTAGCCTTCCCCACTTCATAAAGCAGTTCTGCCGTTTCCCCCATTGGAAAGTTGTCTGATTCTGTGACAGCATTCTGTTGGCGGTAATCAATGTGGTAAATTTGCACAACACCGGGTGCGCAAAGGTGCTTTCAATCGGGTATATCAGGCGCCATTCTTTCAACTCAGATGGATACCTGTCTTTCCATTTCTCCTCTCAGTCAGGCGCCATTCTTTCAACTCGGATGGATACCTGTCTTTCCATTTCTCCTCTCAGTGCTACCGGCACACGGTAAGGGTAGGACTTCTCTGGGGTCGCACCTGGGAGCAAAGTTATTCTATGTTTTTCTACTTTATAAATTCCAGGCTTTTCTGGAAAATTGTTTTCATACTTTTTCACTACGTTTTTCAATGCACGTGCCTGTGGATTCAACAGGTCTGTGCTTTGCTGGAGCGCTATAACTACACCATGGTCTGGTTTCTCTACACTGCGGAGTTGTTTCTAACTGACCAAACTCTTCATCTGTCTGAAACACCACTGCTGTGTTATGTACCCAGACATACAGTAGACTCCCTTTAAACTAAACCTGAAGGGACCATGAAAATATGTTTCCTTTAAGAGGAGTTTTGTTTACTGTGAGATAAACAGGGGTATATATTCAAGTACGATACCCAACATATTAGTGGAAGATGTTCCATTTAAGCAGCAATTTCATTTAACAGAGTTTTGTTTAATAGGAGTCTACTGCAGTACTTTCTGAGGTGATTGGCGTGAACCCATTTATCAGCACCCTCTAAGAACCGAATGATATAGCTGTCTTGTCACACTTGCTGCACTACCTCTGCCAGTTCATTATATTTAGGTTGAATCTTCCCCACGTGTCCTGTCTCAAGAAGCAGTACTTGCTCCCCCACGTCAAACTGTTTAGGTCTGGCCTGAATATTGTTCTTCTGAGTATGCATCTGCTGTATTCGTTCTCGCTTGCCGTCAACTGCGTGAGCTGCTTCTGCCATTCGAGCACATAGCTCCATCAAATAAACAGTCGCAGATTTATGTAGACCTATTGGAGGTTGCCAATCTCCCGTCCAGCTTTTCTGCAATATGTTTAATAGTCCTTGGGCCATACGACCGTACATTAGCTCGCATGGTGACATCCCTTTTATTTCATGAAGGATCTCGCGATATGCCCACATAACTCATGGTATGTAACCGTCCCAATCTCTCGTATGATCATGTATGACATGTTTCAGCATCGTCGTAAGTGTTCCGTTCCACCTCTCTACTACGCCGTTATTCTGCGGGTGTTCAAGCGTTGAAAACCGTACCTCCATTTCTAGCCTCTCTGTCAGCGCTCTAGTCAACGCTGCTGTAAAGTTAGTTCTCTGGTCACTGCATATAAGTTCTGGGACCCCGTATCGTGAAAAGATATCCAGCAGTGCCTTACAAGTTGCGCTCACGGTCAAAGCTCAGAATGGGATGACCTCAGGCCACCTGGTACATAAGTCAATCATGCACAAAGCGTACCGATGGCCACGCAATGATGCAGGTTCTATGGGACCGACACAGTCAAGGTACACTACTTGTAAGGGTGTTTGCAGTCATGTGAGGGGGGCGATTGGCACTCGATCGGCCACCTTTCTACTCGTGAATTTCTAGCATGTATGGCAAGACTCCTAATGCTTTCTGATGTCCAACACCATTGTCGCCAAAATAATGCACTATGAACGTCCTCTTACGTTTTATTTCTTGAAAAATGCCCGCCAAAAGGTGTGTCATGAGCGAGAGCCAGCACTTGGGGCGTGCTTAAGGTAATACAAGTTGGTGGAACAATAAGCATCCCTCTGTGAACATTCCATGTGTTCCCTCACGCACCTGCTCTCACAGCAAATGCAATTAGCTGTCCTCTCTTTGACCTTTTGCGAACATATCATTATACGCCTCATTAGCCGTTACTTGTCCTGTCAAAAAAACTGCTTGCGATCCTGTTGGATCTGGCTGGTGCTCTGGCTTCTCCTTAACACTGATCTCATCTTCATGATCAATTTTCTCAGCAGCGTTCAGCTCTGTTCACGTCTCTTTAAGCTTTTCCAGCGTGTCCGGTGTAAGTAGGGCATCTACTCCTTCCACGAGTTCGTCTATGACCACGCACAGTTCCATCAGCTTCAGAGCTGAGCCTTCGTCTGGAATGTACAGCACTAACGGGACGTACGTTAGGTCAGCCGCAACAGCCTGCCCAAATGCTCCTCTCAAGTGTACTTGGCCTACTCTCTGAAGTTTCGTTGATTGCGGCACTAACTCTTCTCTGATCAATATCCGCCCCTGAATCTAACCATGCATTGAACTTGCGACCTGCACTTATTAATTGTATTCCTGTTAACCTTGACATTCTAGCACCACTGGGCCCAGGCATTAAGCTCTCCTCCACCGGTTCACGTGCCACCCTCGCAGTGTGTCTCTCCGGAGACAAATGGTCTTGTCTCTCTTCCGCTGCCGGCCGTGTCGTTTGCAAGTGCTGCCACCATTAGTGTCCACTCTCCCCGCAAGCATAGCATCAGAAGCCCGTTCTTTCATTTCCCTGAGATAGCCTATCTGTCGAGTGGCCATTGAACGTGTCACCATTCTTCGAACGTCCAGTAGCTGGATTTCTTGGCTTTCTATAACTTGTGCAATCATCATATTTCTGTGCCAACTTTACGAGGTCATGAGGTCTTAGCCATTCTACCGTCTCATGCTGAAGCTCCTATGTGCGCATGTCTTCGCGCATCGGCTGCTTGACTCGGTCTGAGATGAGCAACGCCCGAAGCTCCTAAAGACTGCTGATTTCTCTACTGCAGAGATAATAATCAAGCGAAATCTCTCTCTTGGCGAACTGTCCCCGTGTCTCCTTGTTTTTCCGAGAGGCATAAAGGCGGTGTTTGTACTCCTCAGGTGTGAGTCTCAGTTCATGCGTTTATGCAGGATCAGATTGTGAGCCTCCTCGTATGAAAGTACTTGGACCTTAGCTCGTTTTGCCACCAATGTTAGGCTATTTTCGTTCAGAAATGGCACGTGCAGCTTAAAATACTTTCGCTCAACGACAAGCCTGGCTAGACAGCCGCTCGGCTGTCTGGAGTCAGTACACATGATGCTGCCATCTGTCTGCACTTACTCTGACAGCACGCCGCCACATTATCCTGTAGGGAGCATTGTCGCGACAGAGACCACTTGTTTCTCAGTGTGGCTCACCGTGAGAAAACTTCCGCCGTGGGGTTGATTCACTAGCACAGGTGCAGTGAACAAAAGCTTACGGTGTTTGGCAACAAAGGCGCGTGCAGAGACGAGCGGATTAGTACTTTGTCTGCGCAGCCACTTTTCATTAGTATATCCCCTTTTCTTCTGGCGCCGTCTAATGACTGGCCATCCTTCGCTTGCCCTAAACATAGCTCATGCTAAGGAATGTGCCAGAAACAATAGAGCATCAAACTCGGAACACACCACGAAAACACGTTGGGAACCATGGAAAAAGCATTACTGGAAGTGATGCACCGAAAGTCTTCTTGCGTTGGCCGTTTGGCGCGAGCCAGTTTGTTTACAAACACCGAAATTGTCTATGGCAATAGTCAAAAAAATGTTTTGATTGTATGCGGGGAATAGCATGCTGTGTGGCAGAGGGCACTGTCCTGGAGGATAGTACTCAGGTTCCTGTTTTGCAGTGCTCAAACTAAGAGTGTGAAAAATGTAACACGTACAGAAAGACAGAGGTGGGTGCAACAAGATGTGTTGCCTCTGTGCGTATATTTTATATATTGCAATACCAACTAGCTCTGACATCAGCTCTTGTCATGTACCATTTCTTTTTCTTCATAACAGACCTCTCATGTTAATTATAAGTCATCACCGAATCCTTTCCACCACAGCAGCATGGTCTTCACTCCTGGCACTCACAATCATAACTGACATTTGGTTTATTTCATTGGGTAGCATCTCACAGACAATGGAAAATTGGCAGGAAGTACTAAAAAAATGCACTCTTTTTGGGGACAATAATATGCCATCATGCAGAAAATCCTTGATGATCAGGCACACTAACTAAAATTCAGCCCTTTTAGTGAGGGCATTTAGCATTGTGCATAAATGTCGACAGGTAAAATGTTTTCTAATTGATGCATTTTGAATATTTTATTGTTTTCTCCAAACTCAGTATTACACTGGAAAACATGAACGCTGACATGCTGATTGAAGTGCAGTCCAAACAGCGTTGCTTTAGTGATGATGCTCCTGATGCTTGCTTGACCTTTGTTCTTCTAAAATTATAGACTGTGCTGTATATTTCGTATGGCAGGGCTATGAAAGGGTACCACATAGGCATGCTTGGCAGGTGTTTTTTAACATACTATTTGTGCGACATTATTGTGTAATTGTGTTGTTTTCCAGGTTCTGGGCATAGTGAATTCTCTGCTGTACCTGTGCAGTGTGTTAGCTGCCTACTGGACTTGCAAGGCCAGCAGATACTAACTACTGAACCCTGCAGCAGTAATGTATGTCTGGACTTGGCATGCCTTTTCATGACATGTGACAGGACGGACTGTGAATCCAACTGGCCAATATGCCCAAGGCAGAAAGAAGTTGTCGAGGCTGTACACCTGGTTTTCAACTATGCTGACTCCTGGGTGTCAGCCATCCTGTGAATCTGCAGCATAATGCTATGCATCAGTTTTTATGATGCCGAGCATGCTTGGCACAGTTTTAGTGCCATTTACCACACATGATTTTCGTAGTGTGTAGCAAAAGCAGAGTCAAGTGTATTCTCAGATGACTACTTTGGCACATGAATGGTAGACTACTAAACGCACACAGTATAACTAGTCTTAATTTTGTATCAGTATGTTATTCTCTATTGTACTCATGAATGCAGGGACTTTTTCCATTCCTGTTTTTAGTGCAATACAACCTGACTTATTTTAACCATTTCAGTGCAATCCTATCAAAATAGAGGGCACCTTACTTCATGATCATAAGATACATCAACAAATACTTAAAAAAAGTGGACAGAGTGAATGTGAATATAAATTTGTGACATAACATAAACTGAGCACTATGGTTAATCACAATAATTAGAAATGCCATTAAAGACTGAAGTAAAAAAAAATGGGTGGGAAGGAAGGAACTATGCATGCCATCATTACAAAATCCCAATAAAAGATAGCCTGGCTGTACTATAGTGTTGATAGTGAAGCTATAGTGTTGATAGTGATAGTGAAGCCAGTTATGACTAAGCTGTCTCAGTATCTCACAGTGTGTCCCGTCGGCATTTGCTCTAAATCTCCTTCATAGATGGAGAGTACGGGGGGGGTGGGGCTGGGGGGTTTGGGCCCTTTCCAGGCTGCTTCAAAGGGGGCAGAAGCCCTCGTGGCCCTGGCCTGAGATATTCTTGAGAGCTTGGCTGTCTTGCAGCTATTTCACAGGGGACTGTTGATGCCCGCTCCTTTTCATTTCAAGCTTTTAGAATTCAGATCATAGGTCAGTGGCAAGAAGGGAGTTGGTGGGGTGGTCACATTGAGAACAAAGTCACAGGATGACGAAAATTGCAGCATTTTCACAGCTCTTGTGTGAAATAACTACAGGATGTACACATATGCATCAAGAAAGTGGGAGTTTTTTACAGCCAAAGCTATATATGGCTGGGAGAAACGAAAAAATCACTGCCACAGGCACTCCATACAAATGTTTAATCAGCGAAAGCTCACAAGTGCAGCCCCGGTGTTTAGCAGTGTGTTCAACCCGACGCTGCTCGGATGCCTTTGACAATTATTGGTTACATGTTTGTGCTTCTCAATGATGTTAGACACAGAGGTTAGACACACATTTGGCTTGGGTTTACCACAGTGTTTATGTCACATGCCGCACATTGTGCCTGTCATGATCACGGTCATGGAGGAGTGTAATGAGCAGTTAAATCCGTTTTCCAATGTGTTAATCACAGTGGTTGTTCTCGACCCACAGGCGGTCACAGGCGTCACACCTGAAGCTGAAGTGCCGCTTGAGAAACTCTCATTGAAAATGAACGTTCTCCCGGTCGAACGTGCTGCCGCGATCGTCACATATATGCCGCAGCGGCGTTGCAAGCTTTTAACATCGCAAACTAACTCGATGGTGTGGTTTGCACGATTCGCCTGCCACTGGTGCTTGCATTCCCATTTGAGATTTAGCACGACATGGAAGGCTGCCGGGTCATCGGTACGCAGTTGCTTCTGACATTCGGCCTACTGGGCCTGTTTTTGTGCCAGGACTGTATCATCGCCCAGGCAAATGTGAGCTCTCTCACGTTTCTACTGTCGGAGCTTTTCTAGAGTTTTCCATGGCATGCCCATGTGGTAGGCTTAAGGAGAAACTGATGCGCGCAGTAAAACCCAGGTTCTTTGTGATGTTGTAGAATCCAACTCTCACCACTCGGCTCCCGAGACGCACCACCACGCAGCAGTGGTATAGCAAAGTAGGAGAAGAAACGTACTGCCGCTATACAAATAGCAGCAATTGGCTTGCTGGTCGCTTGAAGATGAAGCATAAACGCTGTAGAAGTTCTAGTGGACTGAGCAAAAGTTGTATTTACAGAATGTACAGAAGTTACATAACTTTAGACATCAATGTTACAACAACAACAAAAAAAAAAAAGAAAACACTTTTGAAATGAACCGTATTCTGTAGAGTGAGCCTACGGGATTCGGCAAAGCCGATGATGCCTAACACCGTAATCCCGGTTCAGAACGCTTGGTGGAACTCCGGGGTCTCTTCTTATTCCCTAGGTGTTCCGCTTTTACACGGCTTTCGGCGAATTGTCGTCTGTTTGTCCTCTGATGGGACAGTACACTTGGTCAATCAAAACCCGCCGGCGCCACCTTCGTGCATGATTCGGCTCATGCCCTCTCCCCAATTGACACAACAACGAAAATGTAAAGCAAAACTAGAAAGTCATAGAGGCATGGGCAAGCTGAGCTGTTCACAATTATGTAGCCTGAGAGGTACACATGCTGGGCTTTGCGGCCATAGAACAGCTTCCCTGTAACACATCAACTTCTTGACGATGGGGCAATTATTCGCCTGTCCCATGTGCGCTGTAAGAGGAACTGCTCACTGACCGCAAGTGGTTTTACTTACGAGCACATTTGCAAGGATTTAGTGCGGAAGAAGTTCAAAATATGCTACTGCGACAATACACACCAAGGGCGCCGACCGGGTGCCCAATCACTGCGACATCGGCCACGCTTTCACATGTCGCAAGCCCGCCCGCTTCAAGAGCTACCAGAACTAAGCCGGACGAGGACAAAACGTGGGCGGCGATCACATGGTATCTCGATGCGCGCTACTTTAATTAAAACAGTGTGCCCGAACACAGCATGCGGCTAAGTCGCAGCTTGACCGATGCGAGGGTAGTTGGAAGAAACCTGTGAGGCAGTTGGGGGTGCGGGGGGTTTCTCACAACATTTCCATCCCTACCCCTTCGTCGCCTGCGCGGGGGTTGGTTTATTTGTCCTTGGTTAGCAGGAACTAGAAAAGCTTGGTAGTCTCAGGCGCCTTAGTCCTTCGTATGGCGCCTTGCAGTACACGGCCATGTCTGTGGGGTCAGTGCTCATCCGCTTGGACTTGCTTAGACTGGGTGCCGTGAAAGCAATGCTGCAAGCTGGAGCTAATGCAGCGCAATGGCAGTAGTGCCACCCCAAGCTTACCTCAAAAACTAAACCAAAACTGCCACGCAACCACTTTTTACCGCGGTCCTGCACCCTCCATCCAAAACTTTGCAACAACTTGCAGGGGTGAGACTGCTGCACATATTGCGCATTTTTTATACATTTCCATTTTTTTGCGTCTAGTTGCTCCAAAAGCATAAAAATGGCAAAAATTGTGCTGAACTGCTCCAAAACAGTCGAAAGCTGGAATTTTAATGCCACCCTCAGCTTCAGTGAGGAAAAAAAGCTGAGTTGACTAGTAACACTCACCCAATTGTGTTTTTTTTTTTTACTTTGAACCTTTCTGGTGTTGAAGGCTCCCATTCATGGTGCTGCCATAATCTCCTCTAAACTGTTGTAAATATGCTTGACCCCACAAAAATGTTCTAAATATGCGTGACTTTGCAAAACCACAAAGTCTAGGGGCGAGCCTAGCGGATTGATTCTCAGGTTCTTTGTTGTGCGTAGCTCGTTCCTACGGTCGCTGCGATTTTCATATTGACGCTGCTGCATGCAGTCCCCTATGCGTGCGCGTTTGCCGTGTGCGGGCAACTGTAAATATGGAGTCATTTTCCTGCATGCGACACGTCTCCTGGATGTTCGAACGCCTGCACATGAGGGTTCTCAGAATATGTTCGGTGAGCAACAGAACACGTGCAACCTATTCCTGGTTTACTCCCATTAGCTACTGCTTCATTTAGACAAGCGAGTTTTTATTGTATTTAAAAAAGCCATCGCATGCGAAATCCGCAAATCGGTGTCCACAGGTAGAGAGAAAAAGTTATTGCGAAGCTGTGGTGACAGAACGGGCGTTTAAACCATTTTAAGCTGTATTAACAGGCACCTCTGCGTTTTATTCACAACTAATCGCGCGTCGGCGATCACGGGGCACAGTTTTCATGAATGGTGATTTGCCACTGCTCCGTTTTGTTATCGAAATTTGCAACTAGCGCTTTAAGAAGCGCCGCTGCGTGCCGGATCTGGGCTGCACAAGCTTTTAGGCTGAGCTTTATGTTTGATCGGTGTTTCGGTCGGCGGCCATTCTGCAGTTTGAGTTAGTTTTTTTTCTTTACAATAAAACCGGCCTCTGTATGTTCGGTGGTTCGTTTGCGAAGCACGAACATCTTACCTGCACTGCTTAGTGCTAGCTCTTTACGCAAGTCACAAGGTGTGCGGCAATCGCAAGTCGATGTATTACCAGGAGTTCTACATCAATGATGATGACTTACGATATTAAAAAAAAATAGAACTGGCAAACCAAATTAACAACTCGTGGTTGCACGCGTGCATAAGCGTTATCAGTACCATTTGCTTCTCACTTAGTGCCATACGCAGATGCTTTACAAGATAATTGCTGCAGTGAGGTTTCTTGGCCCTCGCACTGCACTCTTGAAGGGGGTCCTGCATGAGGTGGCCGCGAACGACGGTGCAGCTTTTTTCTGTTGTCTGTTTAGAGCTCTTAACACTATCATGTCAGGCTTTTCTTTAAGCAAAGCACCACTGTTACATAACTAAGGTTCTTATGGAATCACAATTTTTCAAATTTTTTTTCATTTTCTTTTTAAATGTTTCCGGGGAACCTAGTTTCCAACAAAATCTTGTTTTGTTTTTTAAATACTATATCACATGTTAGTTCTTGTATGAGGGCTCGATAGGTCACATGGTATGTAAAAAGCTAGTGATAATCTGTTTTAAAACTTCCTTCAAATCGCCCCGCCGTGGTGGTCTAGTGGTAAGGTACTCGGCTGCTGACCCGCAGGTCGCGGGATCGAATCCCGGCTGCGGCGGTTGAATTTCCGATGGAGGAGGAGATGTAGTAGGCCCGTGTGCTCAAATTTGGGTGCACGTTAAAGAACCCCAGGCGGTTGAAATTTCCGGAGCCCTCCACTACCGCGTCATATGATGGTTTTGGGACGTTAAACCCCGCAAATCAATCAACTTCCTTCAAATCTGTTTCAGTGTTGTGTGTATTATAAGCCAATTAAAATATGCACTGATGCCCCCATGTTGCTAAAAATACGTATTTTCAAGCTCCCAGGACAACATAATAAATACCACTAAGTGCTCGAAAGCAAGGTTATTCTGCTCCAAAATTGAAATTTTGCTGCTCCGAAAAATGCTCCCAATTTGTCTCAGCCGTCTCATCCCTGAACTTCTTTACAGTGTTGCCGAAGTAAACACAACAAATAAGCGGACTGCGCTCAACCAGCACGCGTAAGGTTGTTTAACAGCCATAGCTAATCTGCCCGGCAGAGGTGTGCACCCCACTCTGCAGTGGTCGCATTGCTCCTGGCCCGCTGCAGCGTGCACAAATGCTATCCTAAAACGGAAGTGCGTAAACTGTCCCAGTTTTTTTTTGTGCAAAAAGAAGAACAAATCATATACCTAAACCAGTCTTCAGCGCCAGCTGAAATGATAAAGCTAATAAGTGAGCTGCCCCGCTCTCTGAATACAGCAAGCCTCTGCAAAACATCATGCAACTGTAACGCGGCATCTAGCAGACCTGAACAAAGATTTCAGAGCTGCTCGCTCCATACGCCAGCTCGCCTAACTCTTACAATGCATGCGACATCTGACATCAACGTAAGAATACTAAAATTCATGCCGCAGGCAATTTCTTGAGCACAATGCAAAAATTTTCGAGAACATGACAAACATGGTACACTATGGCGTAACTGATAACACAGCCACTGGAGACCGCTTGTGACACTGCTGCCAAAGGTATTTTTGTTTTTCCTAGCCATATACAGCTTTCACTATAAAACTGTTCAGCAGCGGTGTCACGAGTGGTCTCCATTAGCTGTCCTATCAGTCACGTCATTCTCAGCCTCATAACCGAAGATGCGCGCCATTGGCTGCGTTGTGAGTGACGTCGTTCATCTCATCGCAGCCATGGCCAGCATTTATAGAACCTGTTCAGTTACCAAACTCTCCGCTTCTACCATACATTGAAAGCGACGCAAAAATTATTTCCGGTCTAGGTGGCACTGCTGCAGCAACAGGCTCCTTGTAGCAGACGATGAATTGCGAGCGAACGTGGCACGTGCAGCTGCTGTCTGTGTAAATATTGAATTGCTTGAAAACGCAATTATGAGAACTACTGCTTTTTCTCCTTAGGTAATCGTCAAGGTTTGATACATTAGCAAAAATGTCTGAAAGCGCGTTATGTGGGGTTCTATGTTGCGCGAACTATAGCAGTCACCGGGTGATCGACAGATGGTGCGGCTTTCATCAAGTTCAGCTCGACAGGCATTGGGGTCACTCATTGTCTAAGTGACCAGCGGTGCCGAAAATTTTCTGTTTCAGCTAATGTGAAGGACTCCAAAGGTTCTTGTAGGTTCTGTGAAAATACGTAACGGCAGGATTTCATTCGTTAGAGTCGCGCATATTGTGCTCTGGGATCTGCTCACATCATTTGTATTACCCATTATAGTTTGTGTTAAAGGCTGAAAAAAAAGAATAGAAAACGTCGCTTAACATAGTCATGCAGATTGACTACATGGCACAGCACATTCGCGAAATCAACCCTCGTAGGCGCATGACTAAGTGCTGCATGTGTCGCGACACACTTCGGTAGTGATCAAGCCCAGCCGGGACTGAATTTTTTTGTTGGCTCATCTGCAGCGGCTGCATTTTCAATAGAGGTGAAAATGCTGTAGGCCCAGGTGCTCAGATTTGGGTGCCCGTTAAACAACCCCAGGTAGTCGAAATTTCCGGAGCCCTCCACTACGGTGTCTCTCATAATCATATGGTGGTTTTGGGAGGTTAAATTCTAAATATCGATCAATCGCTGACTTATCTGCGCAAGTTGCAGAAAGGAGCCGATTGGGCTTGAGAGCTTCAGCTTTTAACAAAGTCTGTAGCGTTTTTTTTTTTTTTTGGGTAAATACTTGACAGCAGCTGCTTCTTTCGCAGCCGGCGGGGACTCATTCAGTGACTCGACATACGGGAGCAGTTCTGTTAGGTATGAAATTGTGCTGATAGTGTCAGATCTAGATGTCTATGCAACATGCTCATTCGATCCGTGATTCAATTCTGGCCACGGCGGTTGCATTTTGATGGAGGCGAAATGCGAGAGGCCAGTGTACTGTGCATTTTCAGTGCACGTTAAAAACCAGGTGGTTGAAATTTCAGTCGCCCATCACTATAGTGAAACCCTAGCTATCTTTATTATTATAGTTAGTGTTAAGTGCCCAAAATCACCAACAAGTCGAAGTAGCATCGCTAACATTGTTATGCAGACTGGCTATGTGGCACAGCACGTTAGCAGAAATGAACCCTCGCAAGCACATGACTAAGTATTGCATGTGCACTCTTCCACAGCGATCAAGATGCGACCTAATTTTTTCACTGGCTCATCTGTGCAAGTTGCTGAAAAGAGCTTCTTAAGGACGGGAGGTCTATATGCGAACAAAGTATGCAGTTGAACTCTGGGTTAATAACTCTGTGAAAGAGTATGCGCCCCTGCGCATACTCTTTCATAGCATGGGTATACATTCAGTGAGTCAACGCGAGCGAGCAATTCTGTCGGGGGTGAAAGCACAGATTCAGTTGTCTTTGCAACATGCCCATGCGCACTAACACTCACTGACATTCTTGAGCCACGATGATGCATTTTTCATTGACTAGTGTCCTCTCTTCAGCCTTTATTGCACAAAAGGCCACAAAAGGAACGTTTTGTATGAGTCGTCAATGCTGTAACAACTCGCAGCTGGCCAACAAACACTTTCAACATCGCTCAAAATGAGTGTACCACTTTCCGTACCCTTGCAGGCTTGCGTGGCGATTTAATGCACTTCCAGCATTTTTCTTTATTGATCTGGAATATTTTTTGTGGCTCCGACGATATCACAGTAGGTTAGTAAAAATTTAGGCACACTTTACTCCTTTTCATCACCGTGAGCGATTGCAACTTTTTTTCCAGTCGACAACGTGGCTGCTCATTTTCAAAATTTGCAAAAATTTGAGCCCAAAAGTGTCTCAGGCACTTGTTAGTGCTATAGCCGCTTGTGCATGTACATGCACACAAGTCAGCATTGCAGACGAACAAACATCCACGCTACATACAACAGAACAGCTCACAAAATATCTTCAGTGTGCGTACTGCAACAAGCGGACACACCAGAGCCAAACACACACTCGATCTCACGTACGTTGTTGGACTGGCTGAAGCCTGTTGCGAGAGCAGCCCCACTTCCAGCCACCGTTTGCGGCAGCGCCACACAACACCGCCGAGTTTTCAAACTAAGCAGGTTCTATAAACGTTGGCCATGGCATCGAGCACGCGGGCATCAGTTGTTTTTCCTAAATCCTTTCACATAGGCATGCTACGGAAAACTCAAGAAGAACGCCGACAGTAGAAACATGAGCGAGCTGGCATTCGCCTGGCCGATGATGAAGTCCTGGCACAAAAACAGGCCCAGCAGGACGAGTGCTGGCAGCAACTGCGTACCGATGACCCGGCAGCCTTTAATGTTATGCTAAATCTCAAATGGGAATGCAAGCACTGGTGGCAGGCGGATCGTGCAAACCACCCCACCGAGTTAGCTCGCGATGTTGAACGCTTGCAACGCCGATGCGACGTCAGTGTGATAATTTCTGCAGCACGTTCTGCCAAGCCAACAACCCTTTTCAATGGGAGTTTCTCTAGCGGCACTTTAGCTTCGGCTGCGACATCTGTGACTGCCTGTGGGTCGAGAACAACCACTGTGATTAACGCATTGCGCAACGCATCTAAGTGC